AAAGATCATTTTACTTGCCAAAAATTTTAATTTCTACAACAGTCTTACACCCTATTCTTTTCCAAAGAGTAAAATTAATTGCTTAGTCTTTTTATTAGAAAGTTCTAATACGACTTGAAGTTCCTTTATAACTTGTAATGATACTTGTTTTACTGATCTTCTATTTACCTTGTTAGAAGGACATCCAACAGTTACATCCAATGGGTTTCCCCCAGTTGATAAAGAAAATGTTGTCCCTGTTGAAGTGCAGTCTGCACTGATTTTGTTTTTTATTATACCTGAAGCAACTTGTTCAGCTTGAATGCTCCCTAGACTTGTGGAAAGAAAAGTCAAGTTTTTTACAGCAGTTGAAGAAGAACAGTTGTGGGCATGTCCTGCTGATAAGATTGATTAGTATTGTCCACAGAGCTTTGAATTATTGGCAGAAAAAGACATAACTGATTCGGTTTCACTAATTGGGAACATTCCATGTGAATTTCTGGTCAAAATTTTCCATTCAAGCTTTAAAAGTGAAATACAAAATTATATAAATATAAGTGCTTCATTACAATTTAGAATATGCTATAAATAGTAAAGGTATATCTTTTTTAATAATAAGGTTAAAAATAAAAATACATAATAACGTTTTTTTCTATCTTATTATTATTTAAGCGTATTTTTTTAAGACTATTGGTTTCTATATAGATGGTATTTATATCTAAAGAAATTAATATAAATAGTCTTAAAACTTAATAGCTTAAAAAAACTTGACAAAAATAATGAGTTTAAAATATAGTTTTACATTCTAGCTTTGATACTTTCTCTCCCCACAAGCCTCTGGGTGTATTAACAGACTTGATCATGTAAAGATTTCTTCTACAACTGGAACAAACTACAGTTGGGTAATTGCTAATTTCTAGGGAATAACCGGGTTATATATACAGCTTCATCAAATCTTCTATTGTTGAATTTACAGGAGATAAAGACAAAGACCTTGTTCCAAAAAATTTCTAGCAGCAACAACAAGTTGCATTTCGTTGAAAAGAAGCAGTTAAATTTATTGAAATCAATGTGAATTATATCCAAAAAAATGCAAACTTAGTATAACACCATTAAGTTAAATTATTTAATCTTAAGAAAACTTTAATTTAAATTGCAATCTTAAAAAAAAGCTAATGCAAAATTTCTTTTATATAAAGCTACTAGCTCAGCAAAAATTAGTGTAACGCGTAACTAAAAATAACTAAAAACAATTTAAAAAATTTTTATAATTATGCAGCCTGGATTTAATTTTCCCATTAAAAAATTTACCTTAAAAAGTTGCTTAATTATTAATTTATATTTATATATAAATAGAAATTACAAAGCAGCTATTATTTTCATTATTTAAAAAATATTTTAACTTTTAAATTCTTCTAATAAATTTGTAAGTCATTGATGTTAATAAAAACCAGGTATTTTAAATGTTGTAAGAAGTTCGATTAAATTACGTAAGTTGCAAAAAAGATATTCAAAAAGATGTCCAAATTCATCATTTTAATATATAAATTTTTAGTTTCAAAGTAAAATAGAAAACTTTCCATTAAATTTCAAGGGTATGTTTCTACATAATTTTTAATCAAAATAAAATTTGTTATCATAATCATTTATAAAAATATTAGGCTAGAAACTTTTGCATTGCCCTTTTCTTACCTCTTTTTGACCCTTTGCACCATATTCAGGTTTTAAAAAACCCTTTTTTTTTATATAAGTAAAATACTAATACTACTAATAAAAAATTTTTTATGAGTGACACAACATAAAACCTGGCGGTCTCTTTGGCCAACCGTGACATCGCTTTTAAAAACAGTTTTAAATAGTTTAAATGCTTGTTTACATATATTGTCTTCTTTTATATTTATTTTCATTTTTATATTATAAATGTAAAAAAAAGTTCTACTTCATACTATTCAATTTGTCAAAATTTTCGACCCTTTTCACAATCAATGTCAAAATTTTTTTGACCCTTTTCACAATCCTCTTTTTAAAAAACTTAAAAAATTTTTGAACTTTTTTTACATAGATATACATATTTTATTTTATCTAATTTCACATTATAGTTTTTATTATTAAATATTTTTAATTTTAAATAACTTTATAATGATTGAAAAGGCTTTAAAATGTTGTCAGTCATAACTAAAAATCTTATTTAAAATCAATAGCTAGATAGCTTTTAGGTCAGAAAATGCCTGGCTCTGCAATTTTGGCCATGAAGAATGTTAGTTAAAAGAACTTTTGTTGCAATATGCTGTTTGAGAGTTAATTAAAAAAAACAGCAAAGCTATTTATTGGTCAAAGTGATATTCGTTCACCACACAAGGGCAACAAGTAAATTTAAGCAGTAAATTCAGATATCTAATTTTGAATTTTTAAATTAAAAAAATGATAATTAATATTTGTATTTATAAATTTTGATTTTGAAAATTAAACTTTTTCATTTATAAATAAAATTAAAAAAAAAATTATAAAAATTTATGTATATTTAATTAGCCTCTTAGGTTTTACGCTAATACAACATAATGGCACATTTCATTGCAATTTTAATTTTTTATTTTTTTGTTGTTGTAATTTTTGGTGTATTTTACCAGCAAATTTAGTTTACCGAAAGTATTTTTAATTCCCTTAATAAAAGCGTTAATAAATTATTTTAAAGTATATTAGTATGCAAAGATTTTTGTAACTTTTCTAACTTAAGCGAAACAGTAAAAATGTAAACAAAGAGTTTTTGAATTATAAGAATAAATAAACAAAAAAAGAAATATATTAAACATATTGAAAAATCTAAACTATAGAATAACTGACATCAATTAAAAAATCAAGTGTTATTTTAACATTTTAATGAATAATTTTGCTTGTTAATAACAATGCATTTTTTTCAAAACCATTGTTCTCAATCCACTTTATTCATTTCTTTGCCGTGTGTACTAATTATGTTTTCTAAATGTCTAGCATACACCTTAAATCCAAGCCTGATAAAGGTTTTTTTTATTTTTACTATATCTTTTACTTCTTTCAAACCTTTAGAAATTTCGCATATAAATGTGATGCCATCAGGCTTTCTAATACCCTGTTCACTCATCATTTATGCTCTGCTTTAGCATTGCTTTGCCTGATCACCTTTCTCTTTGTTTTTAATGTTCTCTTTCTAAGATTGCACTCTTTAATATTATTTCTGATTAAATTGACCGAGTATTTTCTCTTTATCTGCCAATATTGTGACTTCAATGTTCATCAGATTAAATGGTTTTGCTTTAGAATATTGCCATTAAAACAACAATTCAAGTTCTGAGATTTAAACTACTCTGCATATATTGCTCATTTCTGCTTTCTGCTCCTTTAGTTTACCCTGCTAAAGCTTAAAACTTTTGTCTTTCTCTGTATAGGTTACCAGTAAATCAATAAAATTTTTATGTAGATTTATATTTAGAGTATTTAGATTTATGTAGATTATGTAGATATTTATGTAGAAGTATTTAGTAAATAGCTATTTCTGGTTATGGCATTAAACTGATCTTATATTTGTGTAGGTGAGACTCTTTAGTTGTTTAGTGACAAAAATAACTTAAAAAGCAGTAGCAAAACTCTGATATAAAACCCCATTTTTTAATTTTAGGTAATAGGAGTACATAAGACTTGGAAAATAATAAATACTAGCAGTAAGCAACCCGTAATACGCGTTGTTAGTAAATAAAATTAAAAAACAACAGCGTATAGAAAAGCCTAGAAACTACTTTAAAATAGAAAAGCCTAGAAAATGACGTAATTCGACTAATAATATTAAATTAGCGTAATAATATTATCAGATATTCAGCATTCTTCAAAATATATTCATTAATCTGCAAAACAGATTAACACCAGGAAGGGAATCCAATTGTAAAAAATTGCTTCAATTCATCAATATTATTATATTTAAATAAGAAAATAGCATTAAGAAATTAGAAAATAAATTTTTAAATTTTTTTTAAGTTAATCATATAATTTTTTTGTATTTAATATATAATATGTATTGTTTTTCTCTATATATAAAATTATTTTTCTACTACTTTTTTTAACTTTTTTTATCAGCATTATTTTTTTTGCAAAAAAAACAATATTTGCCATAATAATGTGAAAAAAAAAATGTGAAAAAAAAAAGGTGAAAAAAAAAGGTCCTCAAATTTTTATTTGGGCGGCGCCCAAATCGGTGCCCAAATACGATCGATATGTATGTATATATATGATATATATGTGTGTATATATATATATATATATATATATATATATATATATATATATATATATATATATATATATATATATATATATATATATATATATACATATACATATACACTTTGAATTTATTGGCATAATTGCTGGCATAACTGCCAATCTAAAAGTGTTTGAGGTCTGCAAAAAATTGTCGACCTGGTTTCTAAATTTTATGGCAAAACCTTTGTATCAAATTTTTTTACAGATCTGATGCTGACCTCTAAAAAATTAAGGTCAGCAAATGATTGACCTTATTTTTCAATCATAATAAACATTAGTTAAATTGTCCTTCACATGTTTGCATTCAAATCTTTTGTATAATTATTTTTTAAGATTACTTCGTAATTTTTTGCAAAATGCATGTTTTATATATCTGTAGATTTACTTAATGTGTTTGATAGATTTTTAATTGCAATAAGTGTTATTTAAAAAAATAGTTTAATTATAAATTTTTCAAATCATTTATAATATTAATTTGCAGATAATATATAATATTAAACAGATAATAATTAATATTTTGTTTATTTATTTTTGAGTTTTCTTCTGCACTTCATAACTTGGTTTTTATAAATGGTATATAATGAATTTTACCATATGTAGTAAAATCATTATTAATGTTGTTATTAATTTGAAAAAATGTATTTATAAGAATAGTAGATATTTTTTTGTCTATTTTGTTCGGTCATTTTAACAAATTTGTCATTGTTTTTATTTGGTTTATTATTGTTTAGAGTGAGAAATTTAATATTCGTTTAAATGGCAATGTTGTAGAAGGTTTCATATCATCAGGATACCTTGAAGTTGAGTATGATGGAAAATGGGGTTTATTTTATACTCAGTCGTGGACATATGAAAATGGTCATGTTTCTTGTGGAAATCTTGGTTATTCAGCTGTTGAAGTAAGTACTAGCTTTTGTTAAGTAAGTAATCAAGTAAGCAACCCTCGGAATTAAGGTCAGCATTCGTCAACGTTGACCTAAATGCCAGCCTAAAAGTATTTGAGGTCGGTAAAAAATTGCCGACCTCTTTTCTATGTTTTATGGTAATGCCATTGTATCAAGTTTTTTTTTGCCAACCTAATGTCGACCTCAAACTGTTAGAGGCCTCATTTTTCCTAATTCCGAGAGTTGAGTAAGTTTTAGTAAGTACTAGTTTTTGTTAAGTCCTAAAAAAGAACAAGTTTTATTAGTTCTAATTTTTTTAGAACAAATTTTGTTATTTTCCTATTTCTGTCTTTTTCCATTAATAGCTGAATACATAGTAAATGCAAATTTGGTTTCTCATTTTGTTTGGGTTTTAAGAGATAAATTTGATTGTCTATTTAAGTATAAAATATTTCTTCTTTTTTTAAAAGGCTTCTTTTTTTGAAATAAAAACATTACTTTGAATGAATTTTTTTAATCTTTTTATTTTTTAAAGGAAACAAGTTTTTCATTTATTTCATAGTCTTCAAATTGAGATTTTTTAAAAGTTTTTAATTCATTATTAAAAACTTTAGTTGTTTAATTAGTAACCAATAGTAAGCAAATTATAGTTTTATACTATGTTATGGCGTGCAACTATTTTTTAATTGAACATATTTTACTATAAAACAATCGATTAGCCAAAATAAACAGAATATTTTGCATTGGAAAAAGAAAAATGTTTTTTACTTTTTATAACGCTTTAAAAAAAAAGCACCCATGCCACACTAACGGTGCCAAAACATGTCTGGATTTATCCCTGTGTTATGATTGTTTTTCTTTTTATAATTATTAATAATATTTAATATTAAGTAATTGTATTATAGTATTATCATGTTATTAATATCATTTTGTTGTTGTTGTTGATTTGCTATTTATGTTTATTATGTTATTATGTTGTTTTTGTTAAGTTTTTTATAAAAAAATTTATTATATTTTTTTGTTGATTTGCTGAAATATACTTTTGTTATTATTCTTACAATTTTTAAATTGTTAAATAAAAGTATTAAACTATATAGAAATAAAATTATATAATATATAAAGTTATATATAAGTTCCTCTAGTCCTGTGTAACCATGAAATACTAAGAAATCTTTTTGTTAAAATACAAATTATATATTTTACAAAAAAATAATTCTGAACTTTGTTGCCCTTTAAAAAATGGGAACCCTAGAGTCTTGCACATTTGTTTACAAGAAAAATTTTACAATGAATCCTTATACTTTCAGCATGATAATGTTCAGCATGATAATGTTCTGCGTGGGTTTTATATGAATAGCAGTGATCATTTTAATATTTGGCAAGCAAATATAACTTGTGTTGGTACAGAATCTACTCTTTATGAGTGTAAACATGGTTTTTGGAAAAATTATTCTGATTCTGAATTTTATCCTGTTTACTTGACGTGCAAACGATCAAAAGTTGTTAAAAACCAGCGTTTTGATGTTGAATTTATTGAGGTATGAATTATTTATTATATATTTCTTGTTTGTTTTTATGTTTTTGTTTTTATTAGTGCATGACAATTTTTTTTAAAGTAGGTCTTCTTTTGTTTTCTTTTTTTCTTTTTTCTTTTTTTTTCTTTTGTTTGATCTAATGAAAACTAGAGACTTAAGTTTAATAATAATAATGATAATTGTTAAATGATAATTATGATAACTACTTAAGTTTAATAATAATAATAATGATAATTGTTAAATGATAATTATGATAACTACTGTAAGGTATATAGCAATATATGATTAAAAAAAAAATTAGTTTATTTCTTTAAAACTCTTAAATAATTGATTGACATTAGTTGCTGGTCAATTTTTTTTTTTTTTAATTAAATTTCAACTTTGAAAGCAGATGTAACTTTTGTGTATGTACTTTTTGTGAAGATTTGTAACAGGTTCTGAACCAATTTATTTTATAAACCTAGTGCAAGTTTATTAAGAAATGATTTAAAAGTATCAACATAAGTTTTCCCATCTGACAGGCACAAAGACTCTTATTCTTTGTGCCCGTCAGATGGGAAATGCAATAAAGCAAGAGTAATGTCAATAAAAACTTTTGAGACAAGGAAAGCAAATAAACCTATGGCTTCAGGTCTTTTATTCAAACTGACTGATATTTTAATACCCATTATAGACAGTTATACAAACTGGCATAGCAGCATATTTTTTACTGATATCTTGGAAAAAATCAAGAGCAGCTTTTAATGAAAAAACTTTAAAGTAGAAAATGTTTAAAGTAATCGGCAAGCTTATGAGTCCCACATCCAATCCATGCTGACCTGGGATTAGCATGTTTCCAAAAGCATTTTGCTATTTCTTCTGAAATTAACATTGAATTATGGACAACATACAGGAAAATTGACAGTTAGCATTTGGAACTTTAATATTTGAAATAATTCAAAGTATTAAAGGTCCAAATTCAAACACTTTCTTGAATTTGCTGTGCTCAGTGTTGTCCAAACAGTTTATTAATTTATAAAATAGCAATAAAAGTGATCTTTCCTTTGTAATTGTGGCCATAAAAATAGCCAGCTGTTTAGTGGAGCAGACATTGAGTTTCACTTATAAAGGTGGAATACTTACTGTGTAATGATGCCTGCAAAAGCAACTTCAATTATTAGTTCATTATGTGGACATACGTGTAAATAAGTAAGAGCAATAAATAATTTGTATTTTTTTTGGGAGGCAATGACCAAATGGGTTTGGGCTTTCTTACTATAACGCTTGCTGATGAGCTGAACCAAGGTCTGGATATTGTGCGTATGTGGCCAATATTTTGTATTTAGAACTAAGATTGTATGAGACTTATAAGGTTGTATGACTTAATTTCTGATTAAAAATTTGCATCTTGCATCATCCCCCATATGTTGGATTTTCTTTTACTTAGTTCTTAGTATGCACTTCAATGTGATGGCATTCTGGTGATATTCAGTTGACAAATGCCTTGTAACACTGCAACTAGGATGAAGAAAAACAAATATGCATTTAGATACTTATCAATTTTTAACAGGCATGGATATTCTACAAGATCTAACATACCTGCAATCTATACTAAAATCACCAAAAGTTTTGGTTACATGCTCGCTTTGTAATCGTTTAGTTACATGCTCACTTTGTAACTGTTTGGTTACATGCTCGCTCGGTTCATAAAAAGTTTGAAAGATGTAAAAATTTGGATTGTAACTGTGTTTGAGCTAAGGTTAAAAAACCCTGGATAAAAGCAGAGTTTGAGTTTGTTAGTGACACTCAGCTATTTAAAAATCTTTTTATACTTGACAAGCAGTATTCCAATTGAATTTACTTTATTTACTATTTTTACTTTTATTATACTATCAAAAATAATCAATTTAATTAAAATTAGAGAATTTTGCCAACAATGAAAAAAATGTTGCCTAGTCCCAATCATTTGAGCAGTCACTTTAGTTATACTTTTTTTAATCGTTTTTAGTTTTATCTTTTTATGATAAACAAACATTTTTTTGGAAACCAGAAAATTGTTATGATAATTTATTTTAAAAAATTCATAAAAGTTATTTTGAATAAAAAAATAAATCTTTGTTTTCATTATTCTTTTTTTTTTTTTTTATGTTTTTGGTATAAAATAAATTTCTTTTGTAGGGTCAAACTGTTCGCTTAAGAGCTGGAGTTGTTGGTTCTGAAGGTCGAGTGGAAGTTAAACATAAGAATCAATGGGGATCAATTTGTGATGATGGGTGGAATATTGTGAATGCCAATGTTGTTTGTCGACAATTAGGTTTTGGAACAGCATTGGAAGCTACTCATTATGGAAGCTTTGGTCAGGGAACAGGAAAAGTATTTTTTTTTAATATATATATATATATATATATATATATATATATATATATATATATATATATATATATATATATATATATATATATATATATATATATATATATATACACACACAAAAAAAAATAGAAAGTGAGAAAATGTGATTTGTGATAATGATTATTGTCAGTAAATTTTTAACTTTTTTTTTTAATGATTACAAGGAACAATTACCTTGTTTTTATTTATAATTGATATATCTGATTATAAAATAAATCAAAATCTGTGTTTAATAAAAACTGTTTTGAATCAGTTTTGAACTGATGTAGAGAAGTTTTCTTTTCGGAAACAATGTTTGGGAATCTTTTCCACACACACACACACACACACACACACACACACACACACACACACACACACACACACACACACACACACACACACACACACACACACACACACACACACACACACACAGATATATATATATATATATATATATATATATATATATATATATATATATATATATATATATATATATATATATATATATATATATATATATGATTTAAAGGATAACATCTTGTGTGAGAGTATATTTATATATTATTTTAAAACATCAAAAATACGATTTCTCTCAACACTTATAATTTTTTATTATTATAGAAATTTTTGCTGGATTTTAGATACCAGCTTCTTCAGCTTGTTAAATGTTACAGTAATTAGTAAACCGTTATAATTTAAATTAAAACGTTGCTATTGACGTCAGCGGTTGAATGGCTTCTTTTTCGCTGAAATTTAAAAAATGGCGTCCAAAACTTAGTTTTTACGTATTGACCCTCATCGAGATTAATCCCGCCATTTTTTGCAGAACACATGTTTTTTTGTATTTCTAGGGCTTCCCTAACTTTTCTTTCAAATTTCTACTTTCAATGTTTTTGTTTGTTCCCAAATAATTTCTTTTTTGCAAAATGTTTTATGCAGAGCTAATGCAGATTGATGCTGCTTATTTTCATCAATGCTTTTTTGGTGTTGATGCATTCTTGTGTTTACTTTCATTTTTGTTTCGCCTACAAACACTTTTGAACAGTTGCATTTGATTATATATGTTCCTGGTTGACTGTCATTAGGTAATTTTGATTTATTCTTTGATGTTAACAGGGATCTTAAGTTTGGGTTTGATTTGAATACCGCTCTGTAACCAGCTTTTCGGAATATTTTCCTAAGTTTTGGCGAGAGACCGAATATGTTTATAAAGTCAAAAGAACGATTAGTGAAAAAATTTCTAATATTGCAAAATGAACGTGAAAATAAAAACAATAATGCCGAAAAAACAACAAATTATAAAAAGAATGCTGTCCTAAACTTATGCGATACCGACATTCCAGTAAGTCATAATAATTTTCTAAACCTCGGTCCACACTTTGCACCATCTTTAAAGTCGATACCATATATGGATATTATTACAGCCACGGAATCCTCTGCGTTAAAATTAGAATATAACAATAAAATTGAAAATGCCCAAGACCTAAGGAAAAATGTTTTAAGAGAACTAAAAACCGGAAAAAAATTAAATAATAATCTTACAAAAGAACAATGGAAAGCTTATAGAGAAATAAAAGAGGAAAAAAACGTTGACATATATCCATTCGACAAAGGGACAGGTTTTGTACGAATCGAACATTCAAAAGCCTTGGAGAAAATTTGCGAACAAATAGGCGCAACAAAAATAGTAAGTGAAGACCCTACTGCAAATTACGCGGCTAAAATTCGTAGATATCTTTCAAAACTAAATAAAAGAAACTGTTTTTCGAAAGAGGAATACGAAAAAATATACCCTAGTGATCCCATCCTGCCTCGTATGTATGGTGTAATCAAAGCCCACAAACCTGAAAAATTCTATCCTATGAGAATAATTATCTCCACAATCGGCACAGCAAACTACGGAATATCTGAGTTCTTAGTTAAGATAATACAACCAGTTTTGAATGAAAACTTGACAAGATTAAAAAATTCCTTTGACTTTATTAAAAAAGCTGAATCTTAGAAAATTGACAAAGATGAAGTTCAGGTATCTTTTGATGTCGTAAATCTGTATCCGTCGGTTCCTTTAAAAGAAGCCACCCTTGTACTTATAGAAAAATTAAATAATAATACAACATAAAAAATTAACCAGACTAAGTATACCTGAAATAAAACAACTTATAGAACTTTGTTTATTTCAATGTTATTTTCATTGGAACAATGAAATTCATATAATGGAAAACTCCGGTCCAATTGGACTTTCGTTCATGGTCGTTCTTGCAGAATCATTTCTACAATTCCATGAAAACAATGCAATTAAAATTGCACTAAATTTCAACCCTGCACTTAACCTCAAATCGTTCTTAAGATATGTCGATGATAGTCACGCAAGGTTTCTAGATCTCAACCAAGCAAAACATTTCCAATACATTTTAAATCAACAACATCCTTCCATCCAGTATACAATTGAAGTTGAAAACGAGTTAGGAACACTAAATTATCTGAATATACAAATTATGAATAAAAAAACAGGAAAGTATGAATACAAAGTGTATCGAAAAGATGCTATCACTAACATTCAAATTAAGCCACACTCAAATCATGATCCAAATATCTTGAACTCTATTTTTAAAGGATTTCTCCACCGAGCTTACTCAATTTGTAGTAAGTCTTACTTGCAAAATGAAATAAATTTTCTAATCGACGTGTTTATTGAAAATGGTTATGATAAAACTCAAATGATGAATATTGTGCATCAGTTTCAACACAAAAGACAAAATAAAATTACAATTCCATCTGAAATCAATAATTATCCTGTAGTTTCCTTACCATGGGTACCCGGTCTCTCGCCAAAACTTAGGAAAATATTCCGAAAAGCTGGTTACAGAGCGGTATTCAAATCAAACCCAAACTTAAGATCCCTGTTAACATCAAAGAATAAATCAAAATTACCTAATGACAGTCAACCAGGAACATATATAATCAAATGCAACTGTTCAAAAGTGTATGTAGGCGAAACAAAAATGAAAGTAAACACAAGTAAGCAGCATCAATCTGCATTAGCTCTGCATAAAACATTTTGCAAAAAAGAAATTATTTGGGAACAAACAAAAACATTGAAAGTAGAAAATAAAAAATTTGAAAGAAAAGTTAGGGAAGCCCTAGAAATACAAAAAAACATGTGTTCTGCAAAAAATGGCGGGATTAATCTCGATGAGGGTCAATACGTAAAAACTAAGTTTTGGACGCCATTTTTTAAATTTCAGCGAAAAAGAAGCCATTCAACCGCTGACGTCAATAGCAACGTTTTAATTTAAATTATAACGGTTTACTAATTACTGTAACATTTAACAAGCTGAAGAAGCTGGTATCTAAAATCCAGCGAAAATTTCTATAAAAATAAAAAATTATAAGTGTTGAGAGAAATCGTATTTTTGATGTTTTAAAATAATATATATATATATATATATATATATATATATATATATATATATATATATATATATATATATATATATATATACACACACAAAAAAAAAAATAGAAAGTGAGAAAATGTGATTTGTGATAATGATTATTGTCAGTAAATTTTTAACTTTTTTTTTTAATGATTACAAGGAACAATTACCTTGTTTTTATTTATAATTGATATATCTGATTATAAAATAAATCAAAATCTGTGTTTAATAAAAACTGTTTTGAATCAGTTTTGAACTGATGTAGAGAAGTTTTCTTTTCGGAAACAATGTTTGGGAATCTTTTCCACACACACACACACACACACACATATATATATATATATATATATATATATATATATATATATAAAATTATAAGTAGGAAATCATTTAGTCACCCATTTAAGATATCAATTTTTAGCACCATTTTATTTTATATATTCCAAAGTACATTAAAGTTGAAGTTACTTTGACAGATAATAATATTTTTTGAGTACATTAAATTTTTATTTTTTAACAAATTCAATTTTAAAAAAGCTGCAAGTAACTAAATTTAATTTGAAAAGCAAATAAGTTTAAGAGTTAAAAATAAAGTGGTTATAAACAAGAAAATAAGTAAAAGAAAATGATTGGCAAAAGGTGTTTTAAAAAAAAAAAAAAAAGGTTAAAAAGATATAAGTTTCATGTGTATGAAGAACATGATGATAGTAAAGAATCCAAATCATTTGGATGTTTAAGGGAAAAAATTAAACAAATCAATTTGGAATTGAAAAAAAAAGTTACAGTCAAAGAATTCTACTTATTGTTAAGTTTTATTGTTAAGGTTGTGTTTCGGATTGAGGAACAAGAGGTAATAACTTGCTTGAGCAATGATTATGGTAGGAGTTATAGAAAAGAGAAAAAAAACTACAATATTAAAATGATGGGACAAGTTCAAGCTTATCATTTAAAGCAAGTTCCTCTGCTTCTAGGCCTCTATCTGCAATAGCAAGAAGCAACTCTAGCTCATTTTGCATCAGTTGAGTATATAGTTTTCTAGCATATGCTTATTGTGCAATTAGTTGAGCATATAGTTTTCATGAATAGTCAGTAAAAATCGAAAGAAAGGGAAAATTATATTGATCAGATCAAGTTGTTTTGATATTTATTTATTTTTTAAATTTAAAAAAAATATCAAAACAACTTGATATCCACCTCCTTAAGGCTCCATATGCTCTACTGCAGCAGAGGCTATTTTTTTTTTTTAGTTTTTTTTTGTTTTTTTTTTATTTACAACTAAATCAATCCTAAATTCCAAAACATGAATCATACATCAGTATATTAGTTACTGTTATGAGATAGACAACATAAAAGTTGTTCTAAAGTACTTAATTTAGTATGTAAAGTATGAAAAATAAAGTATAAAAAATAAGTAAATCTAAATACTTATGAAAGTCTTATCACTTTATCAAATATATCACCAAACAGTAATGGTTAATATCAATATACTGTAATGGAGTCTTTATATGCACACTTTAAAAAAAAATCTGTTGTACTTAATTACGTGATTATTTTAATTCACTTACTTTAGGAGTAACGTCTTCATTCTTATTCACTCTTTTATTTCATAAAGTTATAGATTCTTAAAATTTATATGATGAATTCATTATTATGATAATTAATGAATCAATGATGAAACATGATTTACTTTTTTTTCTCTCTTTTTTTTATGACTCACTTTTGATATTGCTTTATTAAAGAATTTATTTAAATGTTTTTTTTTTACAGATATGGTTAGATCAAGTGAAGTGCAATGGAACAGAGAGTGACATAAAAAGTTGTGTACATTTAGGTTGGGGAGTAGGAGATTGTGGACATCAAGAAGATGCTGGCGTAAAGTGTCACTTTCCTTTAAATCAAAAGAATTTGAAGGTTTGAAATGAAGTGAACATTTTTATTTTTATTTTTTTATTTAACATTAAAAAGAGGAAGAAAAATCAGAATGTAGTTGATTAAGAAAAATTTCTCTTAAACAATTCGTAGTTAAAATTTTTCAAAATAAATTAGATAAGTTGTAATTATAGATTAATCTAAATTAAAAGGTTCTTGTCTATTTGCTGATACTTGTTTTTTTATATATAATTTTATTGTATTATTAGATTAGATGATTTAGCCATGCATCATAACATAGATTTTTAGCGTATTTATAGAAAAAAAAGTTTGTTATATTGAAAAGGTTAACATGTATTGTAAAATTTAAAATTAGAGTAATTATGAAATTTAAAATTAAAATAATAAGAATAATTCATTAATAATTAGATTAACTATTATTAAATTACAGCAATTAGAATAATTAATTTTGATTAAAAATCTTAATCTAAATACTATAAATAATGTAAATAATCCATCATCCATGTATATAAATCCAAATATAAATATTAAAGATAACTGAATTGTTTTAATACAGTAATATTTTTTAAGGTTCGTGTTATTGGAGGGCCACACAAAAGAATTGGGCGTGTAGAGATCTTTACAGATGGCGAGTGGGGTGGTATTTGTGGAATGAAATGGAGTATACGAGAAGCTGAGGTTACCTGTAGACAAGCAGGTTTAGGTTACGCCAAAAGAGGTTTCACTTCTTCTGAATATGGTATATTATTCATTTTTTGTGACCTTATGGTTTTTATTAATTTAAAGTAATCAAAGAGAATTTTTTATTGATTGTTAATGAACAGATTTTTTAATGTTTGTAACAAATAGAATTAAATTTAAGGTTTGCTGTTACATAGAATCTGTAACATTTAACCAGCAGTCTTACTGATTAAATGCTTTTTTTTAAACTTTTATTTAGACATTACTTATACCTTTTATACAATTATTTAATGTACAATTATTTATTTTTATTCTCTTTTACTTTAGTGTTTACTTTATCTTTATGTTACAAAATGTTTAGATGTTCTTTTAATGCTTCACATACTCTGTAAACATTTTGTAACATGTTCCTTGTACATTTTATTATGATGCTCTAAATTTTTTTTTTTTTTTTTTTTTTTTCAGTTATTAGAAAAAATTCTTTTTTAAATTTATTTTAACTAAATTTCTGGGAGTTACTATCAACAGACAACCTTAGAAATGTTAACTTTAAATGTATTTATTATTTTATTATTAAATTAGGTTTGCAACGCAGATTGGTAATGTTCAATGTGATGTGTTCAGGAGATGAAATGGCTTTAAACCAATGTTTTTATAAAGGATATGGTAAAGGAAGATGTCGATTCTATGACATGGCATCTGTTGAATGTTCTGAGAGTATGTGTGTTAGTAAAAATGTTATATATAGGTTGTGTTTAAAGTATTTTAAACTAAACATAGCTCTTTATTTTTTTTAGCTGCTCCTGATTTGGTGATGGATTTTAAAGAGCTAGAAGACAGTATTCATGTTGAATCTAAGTTTTTATTAGAACTATCTTGTGCTTATGAAGAAAACTGTCTCTCATCTAGTGCAGCTCGTTTTACATATTATCCAGAACTTTACTCTCGTACTCTGCTCAGGTATTTTTACATTCTCATCTTTACATAATCTGCTTAGATATTTTTATTCTGTTTTAATCGGGTTTTTAGGTGTTATACAAAATTTATTTTAGTTTTAGTCACAACTTGGTTTATTATTCTCTTATTAATTGATATAATGAATATAAATTAAAACTACTAATAGAAATAAGAATAATTAATAAATCATAAAATAAAAGAATAGAATTTATTAAGTTGTTGTTGTTGTTGTTGTTATTGTTGAGCTTGGTTTAATTATATGGCTAATTTAAAAGGTTTACCTCTTTGTTTTTGGAATTGTAGAACAGAAAACTTTTTACCCAGTACAGTGCAAAATCAAATCCATTTTGTATATCCCTAATTATAAAATTTTGCACATTTATTAAGATTTTATAGATAGTTCAAACTTTAATGTTATATAAAAAAATATTAAACATGTGTGGATTATTTTCAAAGGTTTACCTCTTTGTTTTGGAATCGTGGAACAGCAAATTTTTTACCCAGTACAGCTAAAAGAGATTGGATTTGGCATGAATGTCATGCTCATTATCATTCTCTTGAAAGATTCTCAGACTATGATTTGACAGGTATTTTTTATATTTTTGTATTTGAGTTTATTTTTATAAATATTCTAAAATATATTGTGTTTATTTTTATAAATATTCTAAAATATATATCTAAAATGACACCTGTGTAAAAAAAAAAAATGTTTTCAAAATATAAAACACACATATAAGACTGTAACAAAAATCTTTTGGTTTATATAAACATACGGTTTTAACAATGTAAGAAAATGTTTATGTAAAACATGCACTTAACCAGTATAAGTTTGCAATTTTTTTAATGGTCAGTTTAACAGTATTATGTATATATAATAAAGCACTTTAATTTTTAATTTTTGTTTCACTGAGTTTAAAAAAAAGGTTTCAGGGTGTTGTCGTGTTTCAGGGTTCCTATCAAATAAAAAATCTGTTTTTTTATTTAATGATGAAACATGTTTGATAAAAATCTCTTTAGTGTGATAACAAAAAAAAAAAAAAAAAATGAATTTTATTATTACTAGCTTTTGATATTTTATTCTTCCTCGTCTCCTAAGGGTCTGGGTTTTGATTATTTCTCTCCCAGGGTTCAGTTTTTTATCCGGACTTAACCAGGTTTCATAGCCAATGTTTTGGTGTCAATTATATGGAATTGGGTTAGGTAGACTATGGATTTTTGGCGTTTAAAAAGTAAACGATATCAAGTTTTCCAAATACAAAATTTTTGTTCTTTTGGGGCGCAGTTTATGAAAATGTTACTAAAAGGCGAAGGGTTAAGGTTAGTAACCACCCAAAAGGTGACATGTATTAATTAATGACTGCAGATAAGTCTCAGGTCATGTCAGGATCATTATAATTAACCTTCTACTGGAAATAAAAAAAAAAAAAAATATTTAAATATTATAATTTTGAAATATGAAAATATTATGACGTTTATGTTATAAAATTTTATATTTATAAATATTTTGTTTATGGCATAAAACATTTTACTTTTAGTATAAATTATAATATTGTTACCCTATTATCTTATATATAGCACTTTAATAACTTTAGTTTCTCATTCTTAACAGCAAATCGAAAACCATCTCTTGAGTTTATGAAAACAAGCAAACTCAAAATTTTTTAAAGAAAGTAATTTGTGACACCATGTTCATTTGGAATAAGCTTAGTCAATCTTGAAAAAAAAAGTTAATAATTTTTTTTTCTGCATTGACATTTTTACAGTTTTGCATTCTTAGTCAAATTAGGCCAAATTATTAATGAGTTTTTTATTGCTCATATGCTGAACAAACAATTAATGCTTAACAAACAGTTCCAATCTGAACTTTCTATTAAATCTCATAATAAAACTTTATCTTAATTCACTAAATACACATAAGCTTCAATTTTTGACATCTCCATTAGTTATATGTTTTTTTGAAATTATATTGTTACTCCCCATGGCTTTAAATCTACAGTTAAAGATATTACAAGTCGCTAGGTGTCAACTTATGTTGAACTTTTACCTTGTTTTTATTTTTTACTAATTTACCTTTTTTTTTTTTTTTATTAATTGATAAAATTAAAAATTAAAATTAAAAAAAAATTAAAGGATTTTTAGCTTATAATAGGGTGGTTTCCACACTTACCGTGAGTTTAACAAAAGTTATTATATTATGTAAGATTACTCAAAAAGTAGAAATTTTTGCAGCCATCAATGTAGTCAAGCTGGTTTTGGTTCTATATCCGCTGCAATATTGCAATCAGGTATTTCCATACCGGTTATAATTTGCACATTTTCTAAATTACAAGTTGTTGATAGATTTTTATTACCCTGTTGTATTTCATCAGGTAAAGTTGTGGTCTTATATGTTTCAGATGAGGCTCTTTTCCAAAAAAGATACAGCTGGAGATATTCAAGGTCACCTTTCTAACCTAAATGTTCGTCAGCTATTTTAAACTACTCTAAAATACTTGGATCAATGAAGTTTTCAATAAAGTTTATGGGAGAGGAAGTTGATAAAGTCACACTTGATTGATTCTCTTCTAAATAAGGAGTCGAAGCCACAGTTGACTCGGATAGTCTTTGAACAATTTTTGTGTAGTCGACACTATTAGCATCAAATGGAAATATTCCGGTATTTTTAAAACCACTTTTAACATTATTTGCCATAGAAGGATTAATTATAAATGAATTTAATGCTTTTGGTACATTTTCATTGTTTATTTCTTGTCCTTCATGGTCAATGCGCCATTGTTGGCATAAAGATTTCCACTTTGCTTACATTGGCCCAAAAACTGCCACATCGAGCGGCTGCAAAATATGTGTTGCATTTGGAAACAAAGCAACAAGAATTATTCCATTTTTAGAGCAAATCTCACTAAGTTCGATAGAAAAATGTGACGCATGACCATCAAAAAAAATAATAACTGGTAAAGGAATTTCTTCTTTTATCAAAAATGGATGAAAAATGTTTGTAATATACTCAAAAAAACATTCTGCGGTCATCCAACCATTTTCACTTTTTCCAATACCCCATCCTTATGGAACAGTATTTATAATTCTATTTGGAAGACAAACATATTTAAAAATTGTTAATGGTGGAGCAAAAGTTCCGCTGGCATTTACTGCAAATAAAGTGGTGATGCTTTTTTTATTACTTTGAGCACTTTCTTCATAAGTATTTTTTCCTCGTTCACCAATTAATAAATTAGTTTTTGGTGACAACTAAAAACCACTTTCATCCATATTGAAAATGCGCATCGAATCATTTAAATATTGAGCGTTTTCTCCTAAAAGCTTTGGAATTTCAGTAAACCAATCTCTCATGGCTTTTTCAGTTACTCCTCCTCTAGCTCGGTTTAAGTATTCACCTCATTTTTGAGATAACTGTTCATGACAGCGAAGAAATGCATAAAACCAACCTTTTGCAGGACGGTTGTTAGTAAATTGTGTTTTTACATTGTTGGAATTCAAGTATTTTTGCACAGTATCTAATAGCTGTACTACAGACATGGCAAATCCCATTCTGGTACATGTTAGTAACCACTCGACTAATTTATTTTCAATGTGTTCACCTAGTACAGATTCATAACCCCAGTGTTGTATCTTCAGAGAAGTTTTTCCAGATATTTTATCACGAAGCGTCTGATAAGGAGTTCCAAACGTCTTGCTTGCTTTGTACACAACCATACTTTTTTTAACAGCATTAATAGCATCTCTTAATTGGCTATCTGTATATTGAAGTCTTCGTTTTGAGCTACAAACTTTTGTCTAATATTTTTGTCTTGCCATTGTAAAAGAATCTAAATGAAATTTTTATTTTTATAGTAAAAAAGAAACAAATTGATTATTTATTGGGCATACGATATGTATGGAATGACATTTTTTTAGTTCATACTTATCGTGCGTTCAAAAATACTACATTGATACTATAATAATGAGTGGTTTTAATAATATTAATAATGATCCATGTTTTATTTACCTTATTAAATCAATTTAGAAATAAAATTTTATCTTATCTTCTTAAATTATCTTGTTTATTTGAAATGCTTCTAACAGCTGGTACTTAAAAAATATATATTTTCATAGGCTGACGTAATAAGCCCACTAAGTTGATATAAGTAACTATGTATTTCGGTTTCTATGTATTGTAATAGAAGTGCATGGCGATGTTGTTGATAAACAAAATATATATATAAAAAAATAATATTACTACTTAGTGCAAAATTTATGTTAGTATTTAAAACCTACGATAAATGTCAACTCACGCTAGGTGTGGAAATGACCCTAATTAAAGTTTTTTTTGATTAAAAAAATATTTTATTAACATAAAAATTTAATAATCAAATTTTATTTACATACATCTTCTGGTATCCTGTTAATTTTTTTAATATAAATGAAGTAATTCAATTTTATATAAAGAAAATGTTGTTTTTTTTTTTTCTAAAGTAATGCTTTTACTCAGTCCAAATGTTAAGTGCAATTTTGACTGACATTGTTGATCCTCTTAAACCAGCCAAATTGCTAGCAGAAGCACTTTGTAGGATAAATGCCATCTTCAAGTTTCTGATTAACAAACTGAACCTGAAAAAACTTTCAATTAAAACAAAATATGCAATTATAAAGCAATTTTCTCAGAGATGGCAAAGCAATATGGTGAGCTTGGACAATTATATGTCTTCACAAGACATATCATTCTCACAAGACATATAATATCTCAATAGATAGGTTTTGATGGATAGATCTTGATGGATAGATCTCGATAGATAAATCTTAATGGATAGATCTCGATAGATAGATCTCAATGGATAGATCTTGATGGATAGATCTCTCTTAAAGTAAATTAAAAAGATAAAAAACTTTTACTAGTTTTTTGTTCAAATGAGTTTTTTAAACATTTATATGTAGGAAATTACTGCAGACTTACAAGCTCTTGACATGCTTCCCTTATTATACATAAATACAGACCTATATAATAGATGAAAATTAAGAGTGTTCATTTTTCCACAATTTTTTCTTTTTGATATGTATGCAAGTTAAAATGTTGGAAAATTTAAAGTAATTTTAGGATATAATTTTTTAAAAAAACTATTTTTTCATCTCGCGCAAGTAGACAACATTTTTTATAAATTTTGTAATTTTTACAGATTGCCAAATATCTGGAGACCTGAGTGTAATATACACATGTATACGACATATTTTATATTAGACTTTATATAGATGATGTGTTGGAAAAGTTTGAAAATTTTTTTATTGTTTCATGTTCAATGAGAGGTCAATCAATCACTAAAACCATACAGATTTTGGTTTAACATGATATAACAGTCATAGCAACCTAAAATTTTGTGTCCAAGCACCTTAAGGATATTGATGTCCTATTTGTATCTTGTGGCAGAGACCCTCTCCTCCAACCACCCTTCCTTCCCCCAAGGAAAACCAGGCCCCTCCACTCAGTAATAATTCTCAATAGTATTAATAACTTGGTGGAATTTAGTAATGAGATCTTAAATGCTTAAGAAAATTCACAAGCTTGTAGGTGTTGGAGGGGTGGGGGGTGTAGACTTTC